ACACTGCATAATCTATTTGAGTTTGCTTGACCAAACAGATTATGCAGTGTTTAAGGTCACCATGGTCACACCTGCTAGCTTCTCCCAACCTAGGCACAAGGTTTGGCATATATATCCTGAAGATCAGGCAAACAAGAAACCCCAGAAATGATGGACTATAAAACCTTGAATTTCCTACTGAAATTTATAATTATATATATTTAAAAACTATTTATATTATAAATGCAATTTTCGCCAATATATTTTGAACTTTAATATTATAAATTTTATTATATTATTATGAAATTTGAATATAATTATTTTGTTTAATCTAGTATTGTCCCAAACATAATTGTTAGAGTCATGAAAGTGACTCTATTTTGGTGATAAAAATACCCCATTTGTGATTAAATTGAAGTATATTGAGACAATTAAAGAATTTATGAATTTATTCACGAAAATCGCTTCTTAATATTTTTCTTATGAATTTAACGTGTTTGGAATGATTTTGGAAAATATATGAGTTGATATTGGGTTGTGGTTTATGGATTAAGTTTGATTTTGTCTCATTTATGCTATTTAGGGGGTAAAATGTCATGTTTTAAGGGGCTGATTTTGTCACTTTTCAATTATGTAGGGACTAAACTGATATTTTACAAATTGTTCTATAAAACAAAAAGTGCAGATCGCGTTTTCCAGGGGGGGCTGTTCATCATCTTTTCCGGCGACCCTTCGTCTCCCTCCGGTGACCCTTCATCTTCTCCGGCGACGTTTCGTCTCCCTCGTGCATGGTTCATCATCATCCCGTCAAAACCACGGCAAACCACCACCGAGAACCACCACGTCGCGACGCTTCGCCTTCCACCACCGTGACTTTTCGTCTTCCAGGCGAGATTTTGCCGTTTTCCGGCGATGTTTCGGCTCCCCAAGGGTCGATCCACCTTCCCCACAGCCAGATCTACACTTCCCTAGCTTCAGCCGCCGGGAAAACCGCCGAAATCCGTGATTTAGCCGCCACGACTCTTCATCTTCCAGGCCAGATTCTGCTCATTTCCGGCAACTTCTCACCTCCACAGGACCTGATCTGAACTCCCCATCACCAGAGCTTTCCATTGGTACCTTCGGATCCCATTTCCGCCACCGTTTTCCAGAGACCCGCCGGAAAATTAACGTTTTCCGGGGAACCGCGGCTGTTCATATTCCGGGCTGTCCGTTGGTCATTTTCGGCCCTTCTTCCCATCATATCGCTGTCGGTTACCTCCTCTTCGCCATGATCAGCTCCGTTTCCACTGTTTCAACCTCCGTCATCACCACCATGAGCGGCTGAGTTCCCGGTTGTCCGTTACGGTGTAGGCGAGATCAAGATTGACTCCACTGATCTCCTCATCAGCTCTCGACTAGTTGGATGAGCCCGGAATGTTGGATATTTGGTTAAGTTTCTTGTATTCAGATTATATTTGTTTTCGTTTCAGTTTGTTTGCGATACTTTAATATTATTCTAATACTCGACGTGTTGAATTGATAATGTCCATTGAGAACGTTTATTGATATATAACTTTTTGCATAATTGAATGTCGGTTTGAGATTATTAAATGTTGATTATGACTTTAAATTGCTTCGGTACTGATTGCAATCAAGTTGTAGTAGCGTTTAATATCATTTCTACTAGGAATGCATTTATTGTGTAATTAGTTGATTGGATGATACAAGTTAGTAGGTTGTACTTATTAACGTTGTACCAACTAGTGGTGTTTAAGGGTTTAGCATTTTTCGGTTAGTCAATGATAGTCTTTAACCAATCGATCTGTAACTAAGACGACGGGGAGACAGGATAGATTATGCCTAGATTGTCGGGAGATATTTCTATTGATTTGCCTAGCCTTGTAGGTTTCGGAAATTGAAGAGCGATGAGAGGAATTGTGAGAGTTGGTCTTGAGTCAAACCGAACCCGTAGCGACAACGCTTTTAATATTGTGTTTTAGTTAACAATTTATTTAATGCTTTTTAATTTCCTGCAAGTAATTAGTTTCCTTAGTTTTAATCAATCATTCCGCCAATTTCTCTTTCGTTAATTCAAAAGTACATTAGGTCGTTAGTCTTGCTCCCTGTGGATTCGATCCTGCTTACCGCTAACTACGGTACTTAGGTTTAATTTTGTGACCGTGACGACCGGTCTAACAATAATACAGTATCCTATCACACACACATGTATATATTCAATCCAATAGAATCATTTTAGGACTTTTATGTCTACACATGCTTCTAAACCGTCCTTGGTGGGGCAATTAAATGAGTTGAGCTGGTTGTGAGGACAAATTTGAGGAGCAAATAAATGGCGCTGCTTATAATGGCATCTGGAGATGATAGAGAGAATGGCAATTGGACTAGCATATCACATGATTCTATCAACATGATTTCAATGAATTGCTTTTCCTTGAAGTGAAGTGATGGACAAGCGTGTCCCTCTTTCTAGTTTTGCCCCAAAAGTCTTTCTTTTACATTTACCACCTTATTAAATAAACTGATTCAGTTTCCTTGAATTGGCATGTCTCTTGCTTTATGTTCCAATACCCATAATCTGTACTACTTTAGTCATATTCAGTAGAAAACAAGTACCCAAATAGTAGCTTACAAGAGTAGAAAGAGCAATCAACATCATTTCACTGCCTAGAAAACCAAACATCACCAACATTAGATAGTAACTACGTTGAATCACAACACAGAAAGCATCCAGTAGTAAACAATTATATAGCAGTAGCCTTCATCTAACATATCTAATTAAATAGTTCAGCAACATAATCTGAATTCTAGGGAAGAAAATCCATAGATTTTCAGAATGACAGCCATCACACAATGTGTCCACAGGCCAAGCTAAAAGGCTATCATTAGTGTATTCACCAGAGACCAAGCAAGACTGAAACCAACACTCTAAATTTTGCAATTCTGAACAAAGCAGGTGGTATTGTCTTCCCTTGTTGGTCAGCTTGAACTTCTTTCATTACTTGGTTACCTTCCTCCTACAATTGAGTAATGATCCTGCTAATCCTATCCCATAAAGAATATCTCCTTACAGTTTGGTGTGTTTTTGCAGCTTTTTGCTTTCCTTTCAGTCGTCAGTGAGGGCTGCAAACTGACTAGCATCAGAAAGGAGGCAATTCTACAATTCAGGAATTGGATGAATAATTCATAAAAAGAATTGTGTGACCTGATGTACATGCAATATGTATGGGATGGGTTGCTGCTTCAATGAGGCCTTTTATCCTTGTAGAGGAGAAATTATTAAATGTCCCTCACACTTTGAGGCAAAGAGTTTTTTATTTGAAAGAAAAAGGAAGACTATTCCTTCACCAGATGAATGCTTGATATTAAATCCCCGCTTCTATGTATAAATATATGCATGCTCTAAGGAGGACGAAGCATTTGCAATTGATAGCTAATACTAACAAGCAATCAAGAAAGGAATGGCCATCATTAGAGTTGGTATTAGTGGTCTTCTTGCCTGTAAGTACATTTTGTCCAAAGGTTTCTATCCAACTGTTTTTGAGTCATAAAGTTGCATTGGAGGAGTATGGACTAAAACATTCCAAACAACAAAGCTACAGACTCCAAAATCTTCTCTAATTTTCCATGGCCCTCTTTAGTCATAAATGTTTAAGTAATGCATGGTGTAACTGTTTGATTGTTTGTTTATGTTTTCAATTTTGGCATGATCTATTTGGGTTAATTTGAGCTACTTGTTTTTGGTAGTTGGATTTTGGCCTTATTTGTTTGGGTAGGTAGCAGTTGTGCATGGTAGATTTGTTTGTGTTTTTATTTGTTTTTGTTCTCTATTTTAATTTTTATCCGTTATAGTTATATTTTTAATTTTTGATCATCTTTTTATTTTGTTATTGAAAACCATGGTGTATCCTTTTGTCTGTTTACACTTTTCCAAAAATCAGAATGGTGAAGCATGGAGGAGAAAATTGTCAAAGATGCAACTCAACAAATACAATAGAAGATTTACGCAACATTTAGGAGCTGTAACGGAAGCATCTTAGAAATTGCTTCTATTTTTTTGTATATCTTCCCTGTAAACACATTTCGCTCTACTAAATTCATAGTTTTTTGTTTATTTGTATCTCAAGAAGAATTTCATTACAAATTATATTCTTTTGTATGAATAATTTCTTTTAAATCATGAAGAATTTCAGCTACAAATGAGCAATTTTATTCTGCACCTTTCTTTGTATATATTCACTTAAAAATTTGCTACCAAAACAGGGACAAATTGGTCATTTGTTGTGTCTCATTTTTTAAAAAACTCATAGGGACAAACTAGTTATTTCACTAGCTTATAATAACTTGATGGCATGATCATAATTCACCATAATGATGTGGGTATTTACGTAATTGAACGAGTTGACTAAAATTAATAAAAAACTAAGATATAAACTTCCAAGAAATGAATAATAACTAATGGGCCTGAGCCCTAAAGTCCATACAAACTTCTCTAAGAGTAATCTTATGCTTACTCACCATCTTACTATCATTTATAAATATAACGTATAGTACGGATACCATGTGCAATTTTAACAAAGGTAGGAAGGCGGTTAGTATAACTCGTGAGTAAGCATAGTGTTTTTCCTTCTCTAAACCTATTTCTTTTTTGTGATTTAAAATTTTAATCCCTCTCTGCAAAATCAGTAACCCTATGTCTCATTTCTTCTCTACCAACTCATCACTACTGCAAACCACTAAGCGCCAGCACCCCCAAACAACTCCCAACCCACCTCAACATACCGCGCGCACCCCCCAACCCCCCCCCCCCCCCCCCCCCCCACCCCCCCCCCCCCCCCCCCCCGGTGGGCCCACGGCGATGGTAAACTGAACCTTTTTCTTTTTTGTTCCTTCTTTGTTTTTTAAATTACTATTCTTGTTCTTATAGACTAAAAGCTAATTAGCTATTATCATTCTCTCTTTGTCTACAAAATTCAAAACTCTCTAACGGATGCATTTACCTCTCTTCTCCTCCTCTTGTCTCCAACGCCTTAAATCTCAACAATCTTTGGCCAAATTAACAAACCCTACTGTCTCTTCTCTCTCTTTAGTTTACTGATTGGAATGAAGCACTTCATGCAGCCAAGAAACACAATCTTGAGGGAAGTGAGTCACCATCTCCAAACCCTAATTCAAAATTAAAGTCATTGCGGAAGCAAAAATCATCCAAAGAAAACGCTCCGCCATCAGATCCGAACTCACTTCTTCCACCTTCTCCGGCATCTTCCAAGATTAAGAGTCCGCTGCCCTCACGCCCGCCCAATCCACTCAAGCGCAAACTCGCCATTGATACACTTCCCGAGAACGTAATGGTTGGGGTCCCCGACTCGGGTGTTCAAGTAATTGTTTCGATTTTCTTCTTTTCAGTGGTTATTTGATATTATCTTTTTTAAATTTTGAGAGAATTTGGGGAAAAATTGACACAAGCTTGAGAAAAAGGAAATTTTAAAGTTTTGTTTAGTTTCTGTTTTGTTACTGAGAGGAAAAGCGAGAAATTTTTGAGTTTCTTTTTGTTCTGTATTCGAAGAGAGAGAGAAATTGGAAATTTGCGCACATGGTTAAATATTGTAAAAGGATTATTAGGTTATATATTGTTGATATTCTTGAATGTTGTTAAGTAGCTTTACTGCCCAACTGTATACAGAGTAGATTCTAATGTCTCTAGTTTGGATGGTGTGGATTAGGTGATAGTCCGAATGCGACTTGTAAATAAGGAACAGAAAGAAGGGGAGATGATAGTACAGAATGTTGGCAATGATACTTTGGAAATCAATGGACAGACATTCACATTTGATTCAGTTGCTGAAATTGATTCGACACAGGTATTATCTCTTTTCTACTTGACTATTTGCATTATTACCATAAGGTGCTCAAATATAGGTTTGTTTTGCAGTTGGATGTTTTCCAGCTTGTTGGACTCCCTCTTTTTGAAAATTGTTTAGCTGGATTTAACAGTTCAGTGTTTGCCTATGGGTAGGTACCTTTTATCTTGCTTTTGATTCCTCTCATCTCATATTTTATTTTACATGTAATTGTGCCATTAGCTTTCTTCATGCATCTGAAAAATTGATTACTCTAGACAGGGAGTGGAAAGACTTATATACCATGTGGGGACTAGCTAACGCCTTGTTGGAAGAAAACTTATCAAGTGATCAAGAAGGCTTAACTCCCCGTATTTTTGAGCGACTATTTTCCCGCATAAAGGAGGTGAGGTTCAAGTTTTTCAGGATTCAACTTGTCGAGGTATTAATCCTTTGCATTTTCATGATATTAACCCCTTGTTATTTCTTTGTAGAAACAAATCAAGCATGTTGAAAAGCAGCTAAATTTAATGGCACTATTAAAAATAAAAAATTACATGCACACTTTTAAAGATCTCTCTAACTTGAGATCTCTAAAAGTGTGCATGTAAATTAAATGGTGTCATTATAATTTAATGAAGCCCTCACTATTCGAACTGAGTCGAATTATTATCAACTAAGAACTTAATGAAGCCCTCACTATTCGAACTGAGTGGAAGCAATTCAGAGGGCATCATTCTGTAACTGTATCCTATGATTACATGATCTGAGTCTGATTACAGACCCCAAGAAAACGAGTTTCTCATTAACAAAAAGGTTAAGTCGAACTTCAAAAGCATTGCTGCTCCACCGTTGTGTGTGTGGAGATGATAAGATGGCTCACACAGTGAAACCAATTAAGGCAACCTGGTGGAAGCTTTATAAAATTTTCACTACTTATAAAGTTGAACCAGTCTGAAATTCCTCTTAATTCATTTATTTTCCTTCATCTAACAAATTTTTCAAAACCTAATTCCTAATGAGGGGTAGAAATTGGAAATCAATCTGATGAAACTACGGTAATGAAGGTGTATGGGAGGAGAGGTAAGGGAGTTGGCAGCAGATTAAAAAAAAAAGGGCGGTGACAGGTGTTGAGGAGTATTTTTGGGCTGGGACAGATGGCTTATTGTGGTTGGTCAGGAGGGAAATTCTGCTCGTTTTCATTTGTGAAGTTTATTGCGGGAATATACAAAATATAGTAGTTGTTATTCTTTGTGTTTGGTTGCTTTTGGTTGTGTTTTGTTGGCTCTGTTGGATTGAATACTAACATATTCTTTTCAATTTTTCTTTTATTTATTGCAAAGATAATAGGAAAAAAAGATAAGTAAGACATGAAAAATATTTTAATTTTAAAGAAATCATTAGACGAAGATTTGACAAATAAATATCACAGTAAATAAATAAAATTGAATTCAATGTTTGAGTCCACTTATTGTAGCCTTTTTATATAGAGTCATCATCAGAGCCATTTATAGATTTCAATCTCTGGTCTCTGTCAACTCTTGCATCTGTTCTCAAATCATTATCTTTGACGTACAACAATTTGACTCCACACTCTTTCAACTTGTACGGAAGAGATCTATCATCAACTGAGAACTTAAAGAAGCCCTTGCTATTCGAACTGAGTGGATGCAATTCAGACAAAATTATGTACTGGAATCCTATGATTACATAATCTAGATCTGATTTTGAAACAGACTGGTCTTTATCTCCATTACAGAGTGGGGCATGGAAAACGAGCTTCTCGTCAACAAACAGATCAAATCTAGCACTGAGATAACAGTCTTTCAAAGCCTGACTCTTGCATGGAGATGATAAAACAACGCACAAAGCGAAACCGATTACGTTATCATTGAGGTGATCCATTGGAAGCTTTATAGAATTTTCACTACTTATAAAGTCAAACCAATCTGAAATTTCGCTTCCAGGGTAAAATATGGTACCACGTATAAAGCGATTACCACTTATAAAGCTATCGATATCCTGTTCCTCTAACATGTTGGATTCTTTTTCCTGTATAAGAAGATCATCAAATTGCAATCTCCCTTTGATATATATGTAAAAATGGAGAGAGACATAATATGGGTGTGATTGTACCGGATAAAACAAGTGGGTGTAAACAAAGATTTGAGAGTAAGCATTACACAATCTCCAAATCTGTTATTCTGGGAAAAAGAAAATATGTTCTCTATTTTTACACTAACTATGGAACTTGAATCGGTCAAGGGACAATCCAGTTTTAAAAACATTGGGCATTACAAGAGTCAAGGGTAGGACTATTTGCGGCCAATAAAGTATTCTTGACTGTCATTTGTTAAGTACACATATCGTTAAAAATACAATATAAAAAAAATCTGTATATTGGTGTTTAATAATTTTTAGTAAAATTGAATAAAAAATCATTTTTAATATTATATTACGTGTGAACTTAGAAAATTTAGTATTATATTAAAGCTTTAATAATTAAAAATTAATAAAATAAATCAATAAAAATCTCTTATTATGTATTTGATTTGACTACAATTAATCAATAAATCATCTCTTGAGAAATCGATAACTTAATATCAGAGAACTATTTTTTTAAAAGAAAAAAAAATTAATATCATATGAAAAGAGAGAAAGTGAGGGAGAGAGACTTACCTTATTGTGAAACCATAGAACTGCATCACTCTGAATATTGAGTAGAGCCTTTGCATGTAATTTCAGTTTGCAACAATTGTTGAAGTTAATATTCACCCTACCCCACTCATCTTTGCCACGAGTTGGTACACTTGATAATTCTTCAAGTGAAATGCAGCCACTTGCTTCTAGAAATGCTAACTGGTGTGGAAGCTCCGGTAAGGATTTAAGTCTCTGGCAATTGGATAAATTAAACCTTAGCAAGTTAGGGAGATCTTTAATAGTCCCTGGAAGACTCTCAAAATTGTTTCCTCTTATTTCTAAATGTTCCAGAGAGCGTAACTGGCCAAGATTGCTGGGTAACTCTTTGATACAAGAGTCAGACAGATCTAGGAACGTCAGTTTGTTCAAGAAAGATGAATCATGCGGTAGCAAACTCAGTGGGTTCTCAATCGTACATCTCACAAAAACGAATGTCTCAAGGTTGTTCAAACAAGCTATAGACGGCGGTACTTCTCTTAGAGAAATTCCAAAGAGTAAAAGTGTCTTCAGTGCTGTTAAATTTCCCAGGCCTTCAGGCAAACTGTCAAGTTTTGAACTATGTGAAAGATAAAGATATTTAAGAGATTTACACCCGCGAATACTCTCAGGGAGATTCTTAAGCTCCGAACAGTTCCAAAGAATCAATTTTTCTAGTCTAGATAGATGCTCTAGTGATGGCAATTCTTCAATTGCAGCTCCATCTAAGTCCAACTCTTCTACTGCACAAGGGATATATGAAATTGTTTTCAAATTTGAGCAATCAGAGAGAATAACTTTCCGAAGAGTTCTACACTGCGGGCTGATTGAAAGCATGTCCATGTTTTTGCATCCTCGTAGATTCAAGACAACAAGCTTATCAAGATTGTGGGTAGAAGAGAAAATGTTACACATATTTCTACAACCTTTAAGAATCAAGCTCTCAAGATTTGGGAAAAGTGAGAGATTTGGCATTCTGCGTAGATGCTGGGAGTAACGGAGGTCAATATGTTTCAAATTAACAAGATTATGTTCCTGTAACAAAAAAGAAAAATTAAATGAATTAAAAGAACATAAATAACATACAAATATTTACAATTTAAAGCACAAAATGAGAAATAAAAGTAAACATATACCAGGTCATCATTCCAGAGTTGTTTAAGTTTGCTACAAGGCATGTCAAGTACAACAAGGTTCCTTGGATTAAATTTTGGTGGCAATAAGTTGGCAGCATATCCATCCCACCGAAGGTACCGTAGCTCATGGAAAGTAGATTTAAGTACTTCGAAACCATGCAACTTCTTTTCATGCTCGGAGCTATTTTTTTCAAAGAACTTCCAAAAAAACCGTTCAAAATAAGGCTTGAATATGTCAAGGCACAGCAAACAAGAATCAGATTCAAGGACTTCCAAACCAGGCACCTCCTCATCATGCTTGCAGCCATAAACTTTCAAGAATTTTAGATTTTGCATGTTCTTGAAATCTTCAAGCTTTAAATGTGACTCCGATACTTTAAACATATCCAAGCGCATGCTTCGAATTACTTCAGTCCCCTAATAATCAAGAGCAGATATATTGACGATAAGTTAGTATGAAATTGCTTAATTACATAAATTGTTAAGTAATTAACTCTCATATAATACATTATCTTTTCAAATTTCTTTTTAAAATACGTTAATATAAGACATGTCTCATTCCCACCCAATCACTTTATCAATTGAGTAAGTTCCCAATGATAACTGTGATGAATATTCTGCAAGCTAATATTTTATTATATCTCATATATAAAATAGAAATAAAAAAAATTAAAGCCTTCGGTTCTCACCTTATTTTTTATCAATACTTTCAAGATATCCTCATGATCCCACAACCGACTGCGTCTACCAGGATCATCAATTGATTCTTGTCGAATAATTTCTCTACCCATGTCTTGAAGTAAATCATGCATTGTTATGGTGTTGGATGATGCAGTTATGAGAGACCTTTCAATAAGAACATTTATATCATAATGTGAGGCGAAGCCACAGCCATCCAAGATTGCTTCTATAAGATCTCTATCATACCCTTTAAAGAAACAAGCAATATCCAAAAATACCTCCTGCTCTTCATCATTTAGCCCATCATAACTTACTTTTAATACCTTTTGGATATTCATATCAGGAATTCTGCTTAATCTTTTTATATAGCTTTCCCATTCTTTCTTTGTCCTCTTATATAGAGAGGAACCCAAAACTTCAAGAGCAAGTGGAACACCTTTAGCATATGACAACACCCTTTGAGCTAGCTTCCTAAATTCTTCTGGTGGACACTCTTGTCTAAAGGCATGTCGACTAAACAATTGGTGAGCTGCATCATCAGATAATATTTTAGTCTCATATATGCCATCCACGTCACAATTTTCTAATACTCGTTTATCCCTTGCCGTTATCATGAATCGACTTCCTGAACCAAACTCGAATTGTCCAATCAAAGATTCTATTTGCTTCGAATTTGTCACATCGTCAAAAACAATGAGAACTTTCTTGCAGGCAAGCCTTCTTTTGGTGAAGTTGGATCCTATATTGGCATGTTTATCCTTTAAAATTGCAAAAATAAGTTGTTGGTGCAAATCAGCCAGTCCCTTGCTACTCTCTGATTCTTCTCTTATATTTTCAACAAAGTAATAGCTTTCAAAATGTCCAGAGATTTTATTGAATACAGCTTTAGCAAGAGTGGTCTTACCTATTCCACCAATACCCCAAATTCCTATCTTCTGAACACTAGTGCATAATAGTCGTTCAATATACTCGATTCTAGAATCTACTCCAACTAGGTTCTTGTTTTCAATTAAAGGAAAGTCCTCATTCAATTTCTCCAAAATATCGTCGACAACTTTCTGTACAAGTGTAGACTCAGACCTACCAAATACAAAAAGAAACAAAGACAAAAAAGGAACAAAATTCAAATTAGATGCATATTCCAATAAATGAATCTCAATGAAGGTAATAAAAGCAAAGGAGTGCAGATATTCCATCCTCGGGCATGAGACCAATGGCACCAAAATTTTGAGATCAAATCGAGTTTGAACCTTTGCATATTCCTTAACAATATATTAATTACTTGGAAGTACTTATAAACATGCCATATCTCAATGGAAAAAGAAACAATAAAAGTTATGCTACTCGATGAGATCTCCCGAATAATGAATTTCAAGCTCAAATTACATCAATTAAATAAAAATATAGCTTAATGGAAAAACGAATTAGTAATTTGCCATCAAATGACATCATATTTAAATAGTAACACAGGGTAGAATTACTAGAATATCGCCTAGGTTAGCCCTCCCATTAAAAATAAAAAAATAAAAAAGAAAGAAAGAAAAGAAAAAAGAATAAACTTACAAGATTGTCATGAAAATCAATATCTTTTCATGTTTCCATTCTTTCTTAACTTCAAATTATTGGTTCTCGTTATCTTTTTCTTTCCAAGGAGATCAAAAAGACTCTGATTTTGTGCATACGAACATTTCCTCAGTCTAAAACAATAATCTACCTTATATATAATAAACAAAATATTAAATAGTTCAACCAATGATTAATGCAAATTTAATAAAAACGGAGAATCCAATCTATGAATTTAATAATATGATTGTGCACAGTTTGTTCACTTTTTTGTAATTATATGTTCAATCAATAATATTATCGTTGTTTCTTCTGAGAAAATAAGTCAAATTAAAAAACAAAAAAAATGAGTAGAAAGTAAAAGTAATATGCATGCAAAAGACATAATAATAGCTATTAATAGTTACTTGATGACATTTGAATCAAATCCAGAAAGATTGGCAGCTTCTCTCAGAGCAGTCCTCCATCTCTGTAACATTTCTTGCCTACCCTTGAAAAGCTCAGTAAAAGCATCCCCAAAAGTCTCAATCTGCTTCCTTACATCTGATGGATATACACCATAGAAAACCGGGATTACAATCTGACCATAACTGTTCTTGCATTCAAGAATCTTTTCAAGTTCTTCAAGGCACCATCTCGAAGAAGCATACCCTTCCGAGAAAATGATCAACGAAATCTTTGATTGCTCAATTGCATTCAAAAGAGATGGAGAAATTTGATCCCCTCTTTTAAGTTCTTTGTCATCAATGAATGTATTGATGTTTTTTTGACACAACGCAGCATACATATGGCTAGTAAATTTATTGCGGGTATCCGCTCCTCTAAAACTAAGGAAAACATCATACTTTTCTTGAGGAGAAGCAGAAGAAGAAGCAACAGCCATTAAGTTCCAGTGATGAGAATTACTTGACATTAACAAAAACATAAAGAGCTAAACCAGGACATCATATGATTGAGTCTTTCCATATCTAAGCATCTAAACTTTATCTCCTTTTCAAGAAGATGCCTTTGTCTTTTTTCTATTTCCTTTTTGACTAGTCGCATAATTGCAACCCCAAAAACAACCAATAAGCCATTCACATCTGGTGTGATTCTGACACAAATTCAACTAAAACAAGGATTTATAAAATCATAAGTGCAAGTGGGAAGCTAATAAAAATTACAGCTAATAATACTAATTTTTTTGTGGTTTTAGAAATAACAAAAATTCTGTTATTATCTATGAATCCTTAAGCTTTAGAGGTTAAAATAGATGATTATCAAGTTAATATCTATTAACTTATAATTAAGTTCTAACAATAAATAGATTTGTGTTATTTTTGAAACCTCGAGAGATTTTGATATTGAATAAAACCCAGGTGAATTCATTAACTCTAAAATTCTTAACATTTTATGAGATCCAAGAGTGATTATACAGGCTAAAAGTTTAAAATCACCACCCTATTTTAATTTGAAAAAAATAAAGAAATTATCAATCAAATATCATTCAAAAAATATTTATGATGATCTTAAATGCAATCTTGCTAAAAAGCCCAATTATTAGAGTTTAAACCATTATTAGAAGTTTATTTTATCAGAATTTTCATAAATTTGATATGAGTATTATTGGCAAAAAGAGTTTGTTATTAATTTAAAATTTTTTGTGTTCAAATAACAACAAAATAATTTAGCTTTTTGATTATATACGATAAATATACATAAGACCAAAAGAAAGAAAAAAAAAACAGCCTGTAAATCATCCCTTTGATGTCGTTAAGCCGTTTCCATGAAGATGCCCTGCCTTCTATTTTACTCCCATCTCTTTTCATGGAAAACACCCTGCCTTTTTCCTTTTTGACATAGATATATTGGGCGGTGATGTGATTTTTACAATAATTTAATATTTTCATCCTTATCATCTGCTTTAATTCTGAAGTGTTTAATATTTTGATCATACATGAGCTGGGTAGTCTAGATGGGATTAATTTTTAATATATTAGGTTCAATTTGTTTTGTTATTTTAGGTAAAATTTTAAAAACAATATTAGGTAATTAAATAAGACAAGTATTACAAGATAAAATTTAAAAATTAATAAAAAACTTCTGAATTTACTAATTTAACTAAACACCTCAATATATATAAATTTTATAAATAACAAAAATACCCACACTCATCTGTAGTACTAGATTTTGGCTACCACTATCAGAATCTAGCAAGAAAATGGCATTACGATGTAGACCAGTCGGATCTAACTGATTGTGAGTCGATATGACTTTTTTCTGCCAAATCTACCACAAATCTGACCGTCAACGACCACAAAAGGTCAGATTTGACCATCAACGATAACCAAAGATATGGTCGTCGTTGTGGGTTAACGATGGCTAAGATTTGGTCGTCATTGACCGTCAACGATGACCATTTCTTTGGTTATTATTAATCGCTAGATTGGTGAATTACCGGCCAATTGCATCAATTAAATAAAAATTTTGAAACTGGGTTTTCAATAGAAGTGATTTAATCAGGTGGGTTTCGGAAATTTTGAATCGGATCAAGATGAACTTATTAATGAATTAATTGAAAGGAAAAATGGCTTTTACATATAATTGATTTTATCTTCCACAATCTGTTAGTATACTGTTTACCATATCTTTTTCTCTTCGAAGATGCATTACTGTGTTTTGTCACTTTTTGACTTGACTGAGAAATGCAATCAGAATGAGCAATTAATGAGCTCTTTCTCTACGTCTCTAATTTCATCATTTTCCTCATAAGATGCTCCTCTTTTTCTTATTTGTCTTGACTTATTGGACCGTGAACATTGGGATGCGTTTATTACACTCCTTAATATTCATATGCTTATCATCTGTTAATACTTTGGGGATGCGTTTAGATGGGGGTCATTTAAGATTCGTGTCATAATTTTTATTTAATTTTCAAGAATTTTTTTGTTTGGTTTATAAATAATAAAATATTACTGATTAATCTTTATTTAATTTTTAAGATTTTTATGTTTAATTTATAAATAATAAAATATTACTAAGATTTTCTAGTTTATAAATAATAAAATATTACTGATTGTAATATCTTTTTCTCTTGGAAGATGCGTTATTGCCTTCGTCTGTAATCTGAATGAGCAATAAATAGGCTCTTTCTCTACATTTCTAATTTCATCATTTTCCTCGGAAGATGCCGCCCTTTTTCTTATTTTTCTTGGCTGATTGGGCCGTTAACATTGGGATGCGTTTATTACACTAACTTAATATTCATATGCCTATCATCTATTATACTTTAGGGATGCGTTTGGATGGGGTCATTTACGATTATTCCGATAATCCACACTTAATTTTCGAGATTTTTTTTATTTGGATTACAACTAATAAAATATTATGATAATCTTTTATTGTAAATAGTATTTATTATTGATAATATAGTTAATAATCAGATTACCTTGTCAAGGGGTGTTATTAAAAAATTATCGAGGTAATTTAATTTTTATACCTATTTTGCCTTTAATTAAATATTATTTCAGACAGAATTACCCTCAAATGTCTACCAAATAATTATTACCCAAATCCCCTACATTTGAGAATTTAGCTAAAACATCTTGGCCAGAAAAAATTTTAAAAGTTAAAAAAATACCCCTAACCACCTAAGACCACCACCGGCCGATGGCAGCAGTCACCATATCGACACATGATCTGTAGGATCTGGCCGGCTATGTGTTGATCCAACTATTTTCGGCTAGATCAAAGGCTAGAAACGGCCAGGTCTACAATGACCTGGCTATTTCCAACCTTCAATCTGGTCAGAAACAGCCAGATCATGGCTAAAGATCTAGCCTTTTCATGCCAAGATCTATGGTCGTTTTACGACCACATCCTTGGCAGTGAAACGACCTTATCAGTGCACGACTGGCCATATCTGATCGGTTGTGCACCATTCCAGTGACTATCAACGGTGTCGACAGTGGTGGCCAGATACCGGCAATGGCTTGGGATAGGTGGGGGTGATTTTGCTAAAATTAAAGTTTTACATGGCTAGAGTGCTTTAGCAAAATTTCATATGTAAGGGTTTAAAAGAAATAATTAAAAAATAATAACAAAATTAATGTTATATCAATAATTTAAAAGGAGACAATTTAGCAATCTATATAACGTGCCCACTCATTCACCTTCCAACCAAACATATCAATATAACATACCCACCAATTTATTCCAATCTAACCAAACACATTTTCCTAAATATTCTCAATAATCTTCAAGATAATCTATCTTTCAATTAATATAACATTCTAATAATACAACATTCTCTGAATCAAACACACCTTAGGTGTAATTTTTATTTAAACTATTGATCGCTAGAATAGTTCCTTTTCCTCTCACCAACCATTAATCTTACAAGGCCTATCCATACAAGTACCATATTCATTCATTGATTTATCTATGCGGGCAATTCATTCATTGATTTATCTATGCGGGTATCTAAACATTGGTCGGATTCAGTTAATTAAAAACTAAAAATTTAAGAATTTTACACT